ATTGGGTGTACGCCTCCCTTTTAGCTATTGATGATTATTTTCAGTTTGAGTCATAGCCTACCCATAGATGTTTCATAAACAGTTTTCTTTCTTTTCTGTAGGAACTGTGTATCATTAGCCAATTGTCTCTATGAATATATCTTTGCTGTCTGATGTAATGCAGTTAACCTGCAATGCATAGATCAAACTATAAGCATACATAAGACAAAAAACACCAACTGTATTTCCTTATTTAATTACTTCTATTCTTCAACACAGGGGTCACTGTACAAGTGCTTTCTACTGTTCCTGTAATGTTCAGCTATTGGGTAAGTCTATGCAAACAATTTTGTAATTCCTGGATATTATCACAAAAATCAAAGCAATGAGCCTCACACACCTGTAGGTTAGACAATTCAGCCATTCACCAGAGTAGTGGAGCAGAGCTACTCTGTGGTAAGGGAGAAGTGGTTCTTCAATAAAAGAGGTAGGACACAACTGTTCCAGCATTGAAGGAAAAGCCAAGTACCAGACCAAAGCTGCTGTTTCAGCAGCTGGGCACATCAGTCGGAAGAAAGAGACAGCAAGAGAAGCCCCTGGGAATTTACAAGGAGCAACCAGAAGTAAGCCAAACACCATTACATAACATGAGTCCAGGACCTGAATGTAACATATAAAAAAAATATGGAAGTTCTAATTCACTGGTTTATAATTCCCTCATATTAATGTTTTTTTATGAAAAAAATTTCAAAAATCGCTGTGGGAAAATCCACCTGCTTGGCATTCCCCTTCCCCCATGCAGAGCACTGGAGGATTCCCCAGGGAAGAATTTTGGTCTTCCTCTGATTCACACAGCAAAGAAGTAAAGCTAAAGAGCTGTTTGTCCTCTTCCTTGTCAAACCTATTTGGATTTAAATTACACAGAATTGTTTCTCCACCGGGGGGGCCTGAGCAATTCCCCTCTAATTGGAATCGAATTGCCTAGCTGAAGTTTATAAGTACACATTAATGAAACAGATAAATTTACATTCCCTTAAATACACAGTGAAACATGGGAAAATGTGTTGCCCCAAGCAGTTCTGAATCTGAATTTACCGTTCTTAACAGCACAACTAGATTGAGAAAATAACTTTACAGGCATTTCAAATACATCGAACAAATAAAATATTATTTCTAAAAGATAAATTACAGCAACAATGATCTAGGTTCATTTCTCACATAACACCATCACCTTAGAGAGAATACAGTTACAACAGGGATGAATGATACTCACTTCCTAGGAAAAACTTGCCAAATGATTTCTATGTGAGTATCTAGCTGTCTGTAGAAATCAAGTTGAGTGTTGATACATAAAACAATGCAGTTACAAATGCCCTGTAACCAGCCAGCTGGGCACTGTGAGTATATCAATTTAGTTGCAGACTGACTGAGTACTGCAACTTCATTAGCCACTGGGCTTTTTGGTTTGGGACTGAGAAGGTGATGTTGGAAAGGAAAGAAATGACAAGGTTTACTTACAAAAAGGAATGAATTTTACTTATGACAACAAAAGATATAGTTTGCATATATAATAGTTAATAAAAAGGTTAAGCTAATAAGCAGACAACATAACAATACAGATTAAAATTGACAGTGATAATAAAACAGATAAAGAAATTAACCAAGAGTTCCCACTTGGTCAGTAACTTATTGATAGTCCCTTGGTTAGTAGACGCATGCCAAGTTGAATCAGCGAAGTCAGACATCTCTGAACTGGGCTGCCCGAAGGATACCG